TGTTCAATTCTATCAGCAACGGAGCATAGAATTTGGAACATAGAAAGAAAATAAGAGGGAAGGCTTGATAAATTGCTCTTGATAAGAGTAACTTTACCCCCCTTAGATAAATATTGCTTCTTCCAACCCGCCAACCTCTTTGCATACCTATCAATCACAGAATCCCAGCTCCCCACTAATCTGGAAGAAACCCCTAGGGGCAATCCCAAGTAAGGGTTAGGAAAGGAACTCACCCTACACCCAAAAACTGCAGCTAGAGAAGAAATGTCCTATACATTCCCGACCGGAACAAGCACACTCTTGGCCATGTTAACCTTTACCCCGAAAACTGCCTGAAAGCAAGCCAGAATACATCTCAAATATAAGTTGAGACACATCTGCATAAGAGAAAAGTGTCATCTGCAAATAACAGATGAGAAATCTCCACCTGATTTGCAATATCTCTTCCCACCCGAAATCCCTTGTTGAGACCAAGATTCTCTGTCCGGCGTATAAGTCTGCTTAAGCCCTCCATAACAATAAGAAAAAGAAAAGATGACACTGGATCACCCTGTCTTATACCCCGAGAGCACCCAAAAAGGCCGGCTGGAGAACCATTCATAAGAATTGAGAACTTAAGAGACGAAAGACATGTTTGAATCCATGTCCTCCACCTACTTCCAAACCCCATTCTTTGAAGCAAATAGAGAAGGAAATTCCAATTTACATGATCATAAGCTTTCTCAATATCAAGTTTACACAGAACTCCAGGAACACCATTACGCAACCTTGAATCCACACATTCACCGGCGATAAGAACTGAATCAAGAATTTGCCTTCCTCCAATAAAGGCTTTCTGGGAATATGAAATAATCCCATCTATAACTTCTCGCATTCTTTGAGCAAGCACCTTAGCTATGAGTTTGTAAATACAACCCACTAAGCTAATAGGACGAAAATCCTTAATATCTGAAGCGTTTCCCTTCTTAGGGATGAGGGCAATAAATGATGCATTAAGCGATTTCTCAAATAGACCTATAGAATGAAACTCCTGAAAGGTACTCATCACTTCATTTCTCACAACCGCCCAACTTTCCATCAAAAAACACACAGTAAATCCGTCAGGCCCCGGGGCTTTATCCCCATTGTAACCGGATAAGGCCTTTAGAACTTCTTCTTCAGTAAAAGGAAGCTCTAGCCCATCTCTCTCCATCTCAGAAATAGCCTCAAAAGGAAGACCATCAAGCTTGGGTCGCCAACCTAAAGGTTTTGTATAAAGCTTCTGATAAAAAGAAACGATCCCGCTACGCACCTCTTCCTCCCTCCACAACTCCACGCCTTCTACCCGTATACGTTCTATGTGATTATTCCTTCTATGGGCATTAGCAAGTCTGTGGAAAAATTTTGTGTTACGGTCTCCCTCTTTCAACCAAAGAGCCTGGGATTTTTGTCGCCACGAAATCTCCTCCATACAAGCAATCTCAGCAAGAACTGCCTGACAGGAAGCTCTCCTAGTACAAAGAGACTCCACATTCCCACCCGCCTCCTCTAGCCGATCAATATCAGAAAAATCAGCAAAGACTCTGTTCTTCCTCCATTCAAGGTTCCCAAAAACATCCTTATTCCACTGCTTCAGAGCGAGTTTGAGAGCTCTTAATTTCTGTGTTAATATGAAGCTGGGTGCACCTGTAACGATCGCTCCCTCCCACCATGAACGAATAGTCCCTTTGAAGTCCTTCACTCTCAACCACATATTCTAAAAACGGAATGGGGTTTTCCGAGAACACAAAACCCCACAATCCAAAACTAAAGGAACATGATCAGAGGTAACCCTTTCTAATACCGCCTGAACAACATCCGGGAATTTTTCTTCCCACTCCTTAGAGATCAAAAATCTATCTAATCTTGAGAAAGTAATTGGGTCTCTACCACTAGACTAAGTATAGGTTGCACCTTCCATTGGTAGATTAATGAGAAAGTGCTCATCAATGAAGTCAGGAAACTGATCCATATCTATGGACCTTCTTCCCCCAGTAGACCTCTCTGACGGGAACCTGACTGAATTGAAATCCCCACCCAAACACCAAGGTAAAGAGCATAGACCTTGAACATGGCTTAGTTCCTCCCATAAAATGGGTCTGTCAGTATCAACGACCGGTCCATAGACCCCAGAAAAGACCCATCTGAAATTATCCTCTTCCATTTGAAACTCACAGGAAACAGAAAATCTCCCCTCCCACACATTCATTCTGGACAACCTCCTACTGTCCCACATAACTAAAATACCACCCGAAGAACCTATAGCGTCCAAAGCCTCCCATTCCACAAACCTTCCTCCCCACAAACTTCTAACCACCCCGGCAGTAATAGATGCCATCTTGGTTTCTTGCAAACAAACAACCTGGGCCCCCCATTTCCTTAAAGCTACCTTCACCACCCTCCTCTTATTCGGGTCATTGAGACCACGAACATTCCCTGTAATGATTCGTAGCTTCATTAAGAACCAGTTGAGATTAACTCCCCTCCCCCCTTCTTCAAACTCCTGCTTCTAGTCCTGCCTCTTTCCATCACCACGCCTTTCTTCTTATCGTAGTTGAAGTCAGAGATGAGATTCTTAATCTCGTGAATCACTTTCCAAGACGATATGGGCTTCGTGTTTATAACTTCATTAGTGACTGCTATCTCAGTTCCAGTCACAATTGCTTGAAGAAGAGATAAAGTCTGAGCGTTATTGCCTTCCGAAGATACTCCCAACAACTCACTGGTAGCTCCAATGTTATCAACCACCCAATCCCTCCCCAAATCAGTAACCTCATCATTAGGTCTCACCATTGCCAGGGGTTCCACCACTGATACATTAGAGTCATCCTTCAGACAGGGTTGAAGCTCATTAGAACAGACCTGTCGGGTAGACCCCGAGTCATTAGCCAATTCCTCTTCAATTATTCTGTCATACTCATAAGCAGAATCTGAATCTGTAACATAATCACCCAACCCAACAATACTGCCAACCTCATTCTCCTCGTTCGATGCAGAAGGCATACATTTGAGACCTTGCAACGCAACATTTAATCGTAGCTCTTTGAACAGAGCTACAGCCTCATCATTGGACAATTTAAACTGCAAATCCCTTTCCACACAAACCGTTACTCCTTCAGAGAGATCATTGACTTCATTGCCAACGGTAACCAATTGGCCAGGAGAAACAAATTCCTCACCATTTAACTTAGAGCTCAAAAATGGCAGCCCATCCATCTTCTCCTTAACAACTGCATCACCCCTCATCACCTTGCAGGAAGGGGTAGAAGAAGAGGGTGTATCAGAAGAGGGACTCTGAAGAGCTGAAGACATACCTGTACTATTAGAAGATACCTACTTCTGCTTTTCTTTTCTTGACCACCGAACTCCATGAGAGCCCTGAGACAGAGATCTAGTGCTTCCCTTCAGCTGTGGATTAACAGAAATGTTAGCGCAACACTGCGAATGCCGAAGCCCCTTTTCAGCAGGACTTACACCTGTCTCAGCAGCAGAAAGCTTCATCCACCTTCTCTTCGCCGAGTTCCAGACAGTTCCGGAGAAGCCATTAAAGCGTGGGCTCTGCGAAGTAAAGTGAGGTGGGCTGGGCTTTGATTTAAGAAAAGAAATGGGCCCCCGCGTTATCTTGGTCAATGGGTTACTCAAATGTTGCCCCATTATGCTTGGGCTTTGTCAAGACAAGAGAAGTGGACTTCTCATTCAGTATTGATATTGATAGTTGATTGCTGGGTCCCCAATTAATGGCCCTTTTAAACTTCTGAGTGTTGTGGGTGAGCCCATTAGACAAAGAAAGCCCAGAATGTGCATCGGGCCCAAACTTAAGCCCATAAGTGGCTAATGCATGAGTGGCTCCATTAATGCCACGATCGTTGCCACGTGTGTGATGATTTTTGAAACAGGCGAACCGAGATGGTGGGCGCTGATCAAGTGCAGGAATGATACGACTCCTGGACCTACCCTTTCTACGCGCTTCAGGCGCATGAGCATGCAATCGGCTACTACCTTTGAGGCCCTGCCGGAACTGTAAATTCCGGCGACCTCCTTTGACGATCGTTTCAACACGCGGCATGTGGGAACTCTCCCCAGCGCCATAGTGAGACTTCGGGAGGATACGAGGTGTAACTTCCTCAATCAAAATAACCTTAAATGCCACTCTTTGATCCTCAACAAAAACATGCTCTGGCATCGTTTTTCCGGCGGAGACGTAGAGAAGGATTCTCTCTCCACCCACCGACACATCCGCCTCAACACCTCTAAATCCACCACATAGATTTCCGATTTCTTCAATTAACTTGTGACACCACAGGTGAATGGGCAAGCCAAATAACATTACCCTCCGTATGCTACGATCTTTCACTGCAGAGCATCCAACCGCGAAATACCAGATGTCGATGGATAGCAATGCATCACCCCATCTTTTCCTTCCTTCATCCAGAACCCTTAAAGCCTCATGCTCCGACAGAAACCTGAACAGAAAAAGATCGTTGGGAAGGGACGAAACTTTCACTCCACTTGTAACCTTCCAAACTTTCGTCGCCCACGCCTCAATCCCTTCAATACGCCCCACATCTCTATCAAAGCGACCAACCAAGCATGATCGCAAGACAGATTCACGTTCCTTGATGCTTTGATGATCGACCCTAAAGACCGAATCATCGCCAACGGAACAACTTTTAATATCACCATTGAAATTGAGACGAGGTAAGGTCGCAACACTGAGATAGGAGCCATGCATAACAGAAATCCTTGCCGAAAAGCCAAGATCCAGCAACAAAGAACATAAATGTAAACGGCAGACGCCGGAGTGAAAGACTCCAACGTCCAAAAAAGAAGAGAGAGAATAGAGAAAAGTCAAACACGGTCAAACATTAATACATCTAACTTTATCCATAATGATGCAGAGATAATTGCAACTTTACAATGTCATTTTTCAAAGAGAAGAAACTTCTCATGACATTAGGAAATATACTTATTTATTTTAACAGGTTACTTGATGACAACCAGCTAACAGGCAGCATCCCTTCCTCACTGGGACTTGTGCAGACTTTGGAGGTGGTGTGAGTATTCCTGTCACTTACTTGAGCAAAATCAAGTTATGATTCTTGTTAACTGTGAAATTCCATGAAGGCTTTCATATTGAATATCTCATGTCCCAAACAGACGCCTTGATAGAAATTCATTAGGAGGACCAGTTCCATCAAATTTTAACAACCTTACCCATGTCATGGAGCTGTAAGTACTAAGTACATAAAAGAATTCTTTTTCCAACTTAACCATTTATACTTGTTTTTACGAAGTCAGCGTATCCTGCAATGGACTTTCTGCTTTTTGTCACATTGGCTTCTGATTGTTACTTTCAGGTTTTTGTCCAACAATATACTCACTGGTCCACTGCCAAATCTTACTGGCATGAATTCCCTCAATTATTTGTAAGTAGTTGTACCATCGAATAAAACACCTTTTTCCAACTGTTTTCTGAAATATCATCTGTTAGCTTCTTGTTCCCTCTTCCGAAACATAAGCCTTTAATTTGTTGTTATCTTATTTTTACAAATACATCAGTTAGTAGAGTTCTCATTTTCCATATTTCAACTGAAATGTTATTCGCAGGGATATGAGCAATAACACATTTGATGTATCAAGTGTTCCTCCATGGTTTTCATCCTTCCCATCTTTGACAGCACTGTAATCTCTCTGTCTCTCTCTCATGCAAGTAGCATACATATAACTTGAATGAAGGAGTATCTGAACTGCATGGGGATGCTACACTAATCCATTTCCACCTTTTTTCTTTATCTAGGGCCTCATATTCTGTTGAAACAGAGTGATCATGTCTCTTCTCACAACCTCAATCATGTGTCCTAAGCCTTCTCCTTGACCTTGGAGTAGCTTCAATTCTGAATGTCACTCCTTGCTGGTCTTTGCTATACATATCTAAACCATCTAAACAACATTCTTTATTATTGTCCTAATTTCTTGGTGGATAAATTTATTGTTAAATCTAACTCAGTCAGTGTAAAGGAGAAGGTTTGGTGATATAGTCAACTAAACTTTTCATGGCAGAATAATGGAAGGGACAAGACTTCAAGGACAAATTCCAGTTGAGCTCTTCAGCCTTTCTGGGTTGCAAACTGTGTGAGTATCAGCTTAATCTCATAGAAGGCCGCATTTAGTTTGTCAGGTTTTGAAAAATCCAAAAAAAAAAACCACTTGCAATTTCCTTAGATTTCAACAGAGTGGATTCTCAGTACATGATTACATTATGATAATGATGGTAATGAGCAAACTTCTTTTTGGCTTGTAATGACAGCATACTAAAAAACAACCAGCTTAATGGCACCTTGGATATTGGCTCCAGCTATAGCGATCACCTGCAACTCATTGATTTGCAGTACAATTATATTACTGCTGTTACGCTAAGAGTGGAAAACAATATTGAGTTAATGTAAAGCTTTATTCCTTCGTCGTGTTGGCCATTTTCTCTCTCTATGACAATCCTATAGAATTGATTATTAGATTATTCTTTGAAAGTTCAAATGACAGCATGCAATATATTTTGTGTAATATTCTTATCATTTTTTTAACCTCATTGCCGTGATTCTCAACTATTTGCTGCAGACTTTTAGGCAATCCAATTTGTGAGAAAGCGGAAAGTACAGAAAAATACTGCACCATTCAACAGTCCAATATTTCATATTCAACACCACCACATAATTGTGAGCCTGCTCCCTGCAGCTCAGATCAAATTTCCAGCCCCAGCTGTAAATGCGCATATCCATACACGGGCACCCTATTTTTCAGAGCTCCTTCCTTCTCAAACCTGGGGAACTCGAGGGTCTATATTCCTCTCCAAGACTCTCTGATGAATTCTTTTAACTCGTATGTACGCCTGGTGGATTCAGTTTCTCTGAGTAATCCAACCATAAATTTGGCTTATTACCTTGAATTGAACCTGGAAGTTTTTCCATCTGGCCAAGAACATTTCGACCGAACTGGAATTTCTCTGATTGGGTTCATGTTGAGCAACCAAACTTTCATGCCCCCAAGCAATTTTGGAAGCTACTTTTTCCTTGGTGAAAACTATGTTTACTTCGCAGGTAATTAAGTATTTCAGTTGAATGTGAGAAATTTGTCGCATGGTTAATTGTCTGACTAGTAGAGAAAGGATTAGGATTTACTTGCTTCACCAATCGACTAGATACCTAGTTAATGTCCAAATTCCTTACAATGGGAAAATGAATCTAGCTTCCATTGAAATTAAGTGTGAATGGATATTCTCATAATATTATTGTAATTCATCCCTGCCTGCATCTCCGCACAAATATGAGCAAAGTTGATTCTCTTGTGCGATTCAGTAAGAGAAGGCTTCCCAATAGTGCTAGCGATGTAGTTCAACCCTTTTGAGTTCTGAACATTGAAAATTTCAACCCATATAGGGGCCTTTCCTCTGGACTGTAAGACCAACATGCCATTTCAATAATGTGTTGATCTAGAAAGTGCCAGGGGCTCATCTCAAGAATACCCTTCATGTCTTCTTCATTTGAGAATTTGAAGAAGAAATATTCATTTTCATTGTTGATGAAATAACGCACAAGACATACATATTGTTGATGGCAACTTAGCAACTTAGAAAGTGCCTGGGGGAACTCTCAAGACATGCATAGTAATAGAGTTAACCATCAGACTTCCATAGTTTCATGCTCACCAGCCATTTTGGGATAAAAAGAGAGCAGAGGAAGCATGCTGGAGAACTCGCTCACACGCATTCTGGAAATTGCTCACCACATATATGTAACTTTTTTAGCTCCCTTGTTTAAGAGAGAGGAGTGTGGTGTTACAGTTACTTATGTTGATGGCAACATAGCAATGTATTTCTGATTTTATGCAAGAAAAAAAGAAAAAGAAAAAAGAAGGTGGTAAAACACAGCTGCCAATATTGATTGAATAACAATAGTTGTTTGTTAATACAGCTGAAGGAGTTCCGAACATTACAACAACATCACCACCAACAACTACCCAGCCCTTTTTCCCAGCTGAAGGAGGTCGGGCCATTAAGTGGTGGAAATGGCTTGCCATCTCAGTAGGAGGAGCTCTAGTTATAATTTTATTCTGCTACTTGTGCTATTTAAGATTGAGAAGGGTAATAAAAGGTAATTACTCATGAACTAATTACTGAGATTTTTTCACTCTAAAATGATGACTAATCACATCAATGTCTGTTCTTTTATGTTATCTAACAGATAAGAGAAAAACAAAAATATTATTAGAGCTCGGAGTTCCTACAAAATATAAGGACAACAAGAAGGGCCACGAGCTGCAAGTATTCAACTTCCAAAGCATAGTGGTTGCCACAGACAATTTCTCAGATACAAATAAGCTTGGAGAGGGTGGTTTTGGATCTGTTTACAAGGTAAATTCTGGTGACCCTCTCTTATCAAAACGTTTTGGATATTACAATTTTTTACCATGTCTCAGGGAAACTTTCCCGATGGAGAAGTTATAGCAATAAAAAGGCTTTCAAGGAGTTCAGGACAAGGATTAGTGGAGTTCAAGAATGAGATTTTACTCATTGTCAAGCTCCAACACAATAATCTTGTTAGGCTTCTGGGATGTTGCATTGAAGGAGAAGAAAAACTGCTCATTTATGAGTATATGCCCAACCAAAGCCTGGATTCCTTCTTATTCGGTTAGCAATTTTCAGTAATTTCAGTTTTTTCATAATGTGGATTATCAATTATAAGCTCATATATATATACATTCTACAAATTCCATGTCCAGATCCCAATAAAAAGTCATCCTTAGATTGGAAAAAACGTGTTGCCATCATCGAAGGGATTGCTCAAGGACTTCTTTACCTTCACAAGTATTCAAGATTGAAAATAATCCATAGAGATTTAAAAGCCAGTAATGTATTACTTGATGAAAAAATGAACCCAAAAATATCAGATTTTGGCTTGGCTAGAATATTTGGGGAGAATGAATCTGAAGCAAATACAAAGAGGATTGTTGGAACATAGTGAGTAAACATTACATCTACAAATAATTTCATGTTAAACATATTTTATTTGTTTGTACCCTCAAATACTAACAATTTCTCAACTATTGATACAGTGGTTACATGTCTCCGGAATATGCAATGGAGGGCCTTTTTTCAATTAAATCTGATGTGTTTAGCTTCGGAGTGTTGTTGCTTGAGATTGTAAGTGGAAAGAAGAATCATAGTTGCTATCATTCTGAACGCCCACTGAACCTTATAGGATATGTAAGTTCCTTAACTGCATCTTAATTTTGTCTCTAATTTTCTTGTCAAAAATATTTGATTTCTACTCAAAGTTTGACATCCATGAATTTTCCTGTGAACTCGGATTATGTTTCAGGCGTGGGAATTATGGAAAGAAAATAGAGGATTAGAGCTTATAGACCCTACATTGGACAATTTATTTCAAAGTAATGAAGTGCTGAGATGCATTCATGTAGGTCTCTTATGTGTACAAGATAATCCAATAGATAGACCTACCATGTCAGATGTAATTTCTATGCTCACTGAGGAAACTAGACCACTTTCTACACCTAAACAACCAGCCTTTTTCATTGGTAGGAATGTGCTTGAGGCAGATATTTCCCAAGGCATGCCAGAAATTTATTCTGTCAATAATGTGTCAATTTCAGAGATGGAAGCTAGGTAAAGGTACCAATGATTTGTTTGCATTATGTATTCATAATACTTTATATTCAGTTTTCCAATTTAACAGCAAAGTTGTATGAATAAAGTGAATTTATTATGTGTCCAACTCTGTTTATAAGATTGTTTATAGTATTGATCATTTTTTGTTTTATTTTGAGATGTTGTTTCTCAATCATTACTAGTTTTTGTAGATTTGAAATGCTTCTGTTCATGCACTGTCTAACATTTATTCATCAATCATGGTTGATACAAAACGTGTATAAAGTAAGGTCACATTCGGAGTGACATTGTTGCCGAGTGATAAAGGTTGAGGTCTTAATTGCCTCACCCTATGATCCTCGGTTGGAATCTCCTTCCCCTAATTTCCACCAACTACTAACCATCCGATAACAAAAAATAATAAAAATAATAAGAAAAAAGATTCTGGAGTGTTTGTGTTCCAAGTTCAAGAAAGGGTGGAAGAAGACTTCTCTAAATAGGCAGGCCCCATTTGGTTGAAGGTAACCACAAGTGGATTATTATTTTGGTAGATGTACCAATCAAAGAAGCATATGATTTCCAAACAAATTATGGTCTTTACATTGATAGAGACATGAAAATTCTATCAAACAATCTGCATTGTGAAGTGTTTGATTTTTCTACCACTCAACTTGGGGAAAATATTAATAAGAACAATGCTAATCAGCGGCCTTTGTAGAATTTTCAAACGAATTAAATCACAATCATTGAATTAGTGAGACTAGGATTGAGGAAAAAGTCGCAAAGAATTAAATGGCACATGAAAGTAAATGAATTAAACCACGACCGTTGGTCATAACCGTTACTTGGGAATATTGTTAGGACAAAGTGATATTATAATGCAATATGTAGTTGTATGGGTTGCCAATCTAAACACCCCAATTCCTGACTCATCATGTTTGCATTTTTTTTAGTTGTCGTCAAATTTAGTGAGGTTTTAATGTTCTTAGTATCAAATGTAAACAGCAGTTGACAAAATATCTGAAACATGTTATGTGTTTTTCATAGTTAACCACTGCGACAGTTATACACCAATATAATTACCATTATTGTTTCAACAATACTATGCCTGAGAAATGGCCACTTTGTCACAGCAATATTGATACTGTTTTAATAAAAAGCAAACCTTAAAAGTTTTTTTTTTTTTTTTCCTTCCCTTTTGATACCAATAACAGAGCATTTTTCACAAAGGAACAACTTTTTGGAGTTCATCATTTCAGAGTTCATCAAGGTCTAACAAGAGAGGTCTAGGATTTAATTATTTATCAAACTTTCTCCCAGATTTGGATTCAGTCTAATTCCTTGTTGATACAGTTGGTCCAGTCCATATTTTTATGGCCACCGTTTTGTCACGTCGCGTTCCATGGTTAAGTTAACAAATTCAAGCAGCAGTAACGTTTTAACCAAAAATTCAAAAAAAACAAACCTGGACATAAACCTTGGTTTAGAAGATACTACGTGCAAAACGGTGAACAAGAAAAAAATGAACTAGACCAAGTCCTCCATTAACATCACCTTTTCAACAATCACAGTGATGTTAAACAATCACAACCTTCCATCAATGTCTTCCCCAAAAACCAATCATTTTAGTTGGAAAATTTTGTAATTTCATCATAATTCAGTGGCATAATTGTGATGGGATGTTCAGAAATTCAGCCTAATTATGGCTACGTTTGGTCAACATGTATATTCTTATTCCTCTTTTATTTAATTCGTTTTAATTCATGCATATCGCCTAATGATATCTTTTTTATCTTCAAAGTAAAATGTATGGTGTTTAAGTTTCCAAAAAGTCATTGACAAAAATCAAGAGAACTCTACTTTGACTCAGTTACAAATAACACAAGTGTAAATTTAGAGATGTCAATAGAACAATTAAGGAACCAAACGCTCTTATATCTACAAATAAAAAACATTTCCCAAATTGTCTCAGTCACCTCATGTCAGAGTTGGGGTTGGTTCATGATGTTTGACACAATTCTTATTTATTTATTTTTTTTAAATACAGAGTAATAATCTTGAACAAAATTAAAATAAATATTGCAGAAAAATTCAACTTATAGTCAATTACTTAATGATCGAAATAGCAAAATTGTTATTAAAATCTAAAAGTAGGACGAAAATATAAAAAATGGTTTGTTCGGCTAATGCTTTTGTTTTGTATTTTTATCTTTTGCTAGTGTACTGTAGCAAAACAAAAGTACAAAATTTGTTTGTTGTTATTTAAATAATATCGAAGTGCTTCCAAAAAAGCGGCCAAAATCAAAAGCATAAAAATGATGTTTTTGGTTGCTTGGCACAGTAGCAAATATATATATATATCTAAAATAATATTTTTACCTAGCTATTTAACTTGTTAAACTTACAACACTATTTACCAAACAAACAAAAACCTTACAATTACGTTATATGTTTTTGCTTCCAAAAACCTTACAATAAATTTACGTTAACAAACAAGTTTCGAAATACACATTCTAACAAAAAATAATTTTTTTATTTCGAATTAAAATAAAAATACAAAGTAAAAACGATTGCCAATCATATTCTAGAATCTAAGTAAACAAACTTAACCCGAGTACAAGGAACCCAAACTTGTCCAAGACGGAGGGGGACCCGGTAGACGCCTCATGAATTATACGTAGTGGTTTTACTTGGTCTCGGTGTGTAGTGGTTGGTAAGTCCATCAATCGTTTTCCTTATCATTATGATATGATAGCATGTGATAGCATCATACCAGACAACTACTACGATATGGCATTAGCTAATCCGTTGACCAAATAGTAAGTTTATTAAAATAATTTAATTATAAAAATTATTAAAATAAATAAACAATATTTAGAAAATAAGGAACATAAATTTGCATACCGAATAATTTAAGTGGTAAATTTTTTTTAGAGATTCAAACTTGAGATATGAGGTATCAAGTTCTAAAGTCTCACCGGCTAAATTACTCTATAGGGTTTTAAATTTTAACTTATAAAATTTTTAAGATATTTATTTTAGATTTTTACACACTAAAAGGATGAGATTTGAATTATACATATTTGACAAACGAATAAGTTAATTCATCCTTAAAAATACTAATACTAATAATAAATAAATGAAATAAATTTTAAAAATAATGACATGATTTACCTTGAAGGCTATATGAGTTGGGAAGATCAAATTTGACTTTAGTTTTATATAAACGTGGTTAAAACTATGACCTTACAAAGAAATGGTCGGCATATAGGTCAACTAATAAGAATTGGGACATAATTTTTATTGAGTGTGTGGATGAATATATTAACATGATTTTTTTTTTTTTTTTTTTTTTTTTAATGTAATAAATAAATTCTTCACATCAAACTGGCCCACTCAATTTAATTTGGTTTGTCACATGCATTTATTTGCTGATAAGGTTCTTCATCCTCCTGATGAAGAAAGAATTGAAACTTTAATGGAGACTTGGCGGGTGGATATTCTACTGCATAGAAACTCTGCATTAATGAATTGAATGAAACTCATAAACAGTAGGCCACTGTCATTAATATATTTTCTATAAAAGAGTGGTGAAGCAGGTTTCATCTTCATTGAGATATTTTCTACAAAAGAGTGATGGGTTTAAAAGTTCAGGTCTTTCTGCTGATTATTTCAATCCAAAGTGTGGTTACAAGAGTGGAGGCAGATAATCAAGATTGTAAGTTTGCTCATCTCTTATTCACATTGTTCAACTTCATTCACTGTATGATTGGTTCACCTAGTGTTTGTTGATATGTGTGTGATAGAGCTTCATTGCGTGCATGCATGCTTCTTTAGATTTAGCTCATTTTCAATCTTCTGATAGATAATCTCTGTTTGTGTGCTGAGAAAATGAAGGAAAAGTAAAGGAACTGTATGTTGATATGTGTCCTTTTGTTGAAGATAGATTCTGCGCAACCCGGATCTGATCTGACTTCCTGAATAAAGAGAAGAAAAAGTGATCCTACAAACACCGGTGTGTTACCGGTGGAGTAGGCTCCGACGAACAAGTCTGTGAATGATAATCTCTCTGGAGAAATCGAGATATTGAGTTAGGGTTTTTTGCCTACCTCCAAACGTCGATTAGCCCTCTTTATTTATAGGACTTGGGTCAGGATGTTACGTAGCGTCCACGTCGTCCTTAATCCTTATAATAATCTGTTGGCCTAATCCTTATCGTATTCTGCAATTCTTATCGTAATCTATAATCCTTATCTTAGTCGTAGTCCTTATCTTAGTCTGTAGAGCCTATCTCAATCTTATGAGATAGCGCGTTACTTTAACGATTTTCCCCTATCCACGGGTAATTAAATTATAATCATCAATTGCCCCCCGTTTCGGAGGATTGCTTGTCAAACCACCGGAACGTTAATTCCCAAATATGACATAATAACAAATAGCTGGAATTGTAGAACCGTTCACCCTGTATTTCTACAATAAGTTGGTTTGATTATGAAATAGTAGAGCCTTATCCATTAACTTGACTTAGATTGCCACTTCGCGGATACAGTCGGGGGTCGAGCTATTGAAATATTTGTAGGACCGTAGTTGCCTTTGAAATATTTGTCGTAGTGCCTCATTGGTAGGACCGTAGTGCCACATTGACAGTTTGTATATATGGCAGGCTGCCATGCTGGCAGCCTACCTTTTGGCACATAGGTAACTCATGCAGGGCTGCCAGTGTGGTTTTCCTATTCAAACTCCGAATCCTATTCTACCTTGTAAAAGTAAAATAGCCCGCAAAATAGCCCGCTGAGAGCTGTTTGTCCCTCACGAAATAGATTTCTATTAGAATTCCACCAGAAATACTTTCCTTATCTGTTTACGTTCTTCTGCTATAAACCGAGATGGTTCGAGTAAAATTCATTCAAATTACTTCCATCATCCAGAAAGCCAGGTAGTGCCAGTCGTAGTGATGTGGTAAGTTCCATGCCTTCGTTTTCTTCCTGCTTCTATTTAATTCGTTGTTGCTTTTTCCTCCAACTCAGTATACCAAGACCAAAGTTAGAAAATTTTATAGGTCACTGTGAAGCTAGGCTCTTGCATACAGTAGCGTGTGTTACTGCCAGCATGTTTTACCCAGAATCTAACACTATGTCAGACGAGGAACACCGCCAGTCTGATTCGGCTCCGTCAGAGACACATCTGGTACAGGATATAGCAGGCTCCCTTACCTCACAGGATCTAGATCGGATCAGGCAAACTTATTCAATTCCAGACAGTGTTGCTCTCAGACTTCCTTCACTTGATGATAGAGCGTCCTCCTTTTACCCAACTGAGATTTGTTTCTATGAGTCTGCTTTCATTGCCGGATTGCGTTTTCCAATCCCTCTTTTTATTAGGGAACTGTTGCGTCACCTTAATCTTGCTCCGACTCAACTCTCCCCAAATGCCTGGAAAACAATGATGGGTTGTTTAGTTCTGTGGCGAGCTTGTTGTAATACGTCGCTCACTATCCAAGAGTTTCTTCATTGCTACATTCCCAAAAGGGGTGACTGGCTGTACTTCTCCCCACGGGACATAATTCTTATCTCTGGAATTCCCCTTAAGTACAAACCATGGAAAAACAGTTTCTTTTTCGTTTCTGGTGATGGCTGGGAGTTCTTTCCTGAAGAAAGTGCTTTCCTACGAATAGGGACTTCCATTCCTCGTGCGTGGTGTAATCAGAATTCCACTGGTGAGTTATCCATAATGATACCCTCTTATGTTTTAAAACTCAAAGTAAATTTTGTTTGAGTTATTAACAGAGTTGTTGTTCTTTCAGGCGTTAAAGAGATTACCGTTTCATCTGATGATCTCCAGCGAATAAAGGAAGCCTTTAACTACCCAGTGAGGGACTGGTCTTCACTCGTGACACCTCAGACTTTGTTTACCCATGGGATTGGTCCTCAGCCAGTTGGCAAGTCCTTTGTAACTATATCCCGAAAACTTAATAAGAGGCTTCTAGCTCAGTTCAAAGAAGGCTCAAGTGACTTCCCACCTACTTTCCCCGCCAAGAGGAAAAAAAAAGAAGCCTACTATTACAGCACAAAGGGTCTTACCTATTTCAGTTGTTTCTCCACACGAATCCGACTCGCAATTCCCTCATCAGCGTGTGGATGGGACTATGCCACTCCTTACTGAAGCAGCGGTACTCCCCTCAGATCCCTATTCTTCAGCAGCATCTGTTCTAGGCAATGCTCAACTTGCTTTTAAGAAGACAAGCGAGTCTTTGTCGAAGAAGGATATGATGTATCTGAATTCACGCCCTCCAACTGAGATTGTAGACCGACTCATGCATGATCTCGCACGGGTTAACTCTCGCACCATCCTCTGTTTTTATTTAGCTTTTCTTTTCCTCTTCATTGTAACTTTTTATTCCCACGTGCGTACAGGTGAATACACACGCGTATTACTTGTCGTGTCTAGCTGTAAAAGGAGGAGAGCATTACACCAATATGTTGGCTTCTACTCGCTCCCAACACCAAGCCGATTTACAAGTGGAACGTGATAAACATGAGGTCGCTCTACAAGCAATGCGTGCTGAGTTAGAAACAGAACGAGCTTGTCATGTATCTTATGTGCAAAAACTCAACAAGGAGATGTCCCAGAAACTAATGGTGGAAAGAGCCAATGCAGTGGGTGAGTTTAAAGCCTCACCCACCTTCAAGGAGATTATGTCGAAGGCCTACTTTGACGGCTTCGAAGATTTTCGGAATCGTGCTGCTTTTGAATTTGCAGACCAAGACTTCTCTGTCATTCAACTAGATGAAGCGAGTGATTCCGAATAGGATAGATGTGTAGCCATTCATTTATTTGCTCCCATGTTTCTCTTTGTGCTTGAAACTTCTCTTTTTTTACAATCAGTTTCCATTTATATTTGTAGGGTTGATAAGTAGGAAGGACAGTTATGTTTTGCCATTGCAACTCCCGCATTATGTTATTTTATTGACATCTTTGGTCGGCTCATCCCTTTGATAAGGAAAGTAGATTAAGACGAGTTTTACTCAGCTCGTCTATGTAATGGGGTAAGTAGATGTATACGAGCTTCACTCAGCTCCCCCTTTAACAAGGGAAGTAGATTACTATGAGCTTCACTCAGCTCACCTTTTAACAAGGGAAGTAGATTGCTATGAGTTTCACTCAACTCACCCTTTAACAAGGGAAGTAGATTATTATGAGCTTCACCCAGCTCACCCTTTAACAAGGGAAGTAGATTGTTATGAGCTTCACCCAGCTCACCCTTTAACAAGGGGAGTAGATTATTATGAGCTTCACCCAGCTTACCCATTTAACATGAATATCTTAACATATCAAAATGATAATGAATTATTTGAAACAATGATAATATTTCTTTAGATGCTCAACATTCCACGGGTGAGGCAGTGGCTTTCCCTTTAAGCCCTCCAACCAGTATGTTCCTGGTCGCTGACATCGCGTAACTTTGTAAGGCCCTTCCCATTTGGGACCTAGTTTCCCTATGGTTGAATCCTTAGTTGCCTGAGTAACTTTGCGGAGTACTAAATCTCCTACTGAGAACCTTCTAGGCTTGACCCGAGCATTGTAATACTTGAAAACCTTCTGTTGATAGGTATCCATCCTAATCTGGGCTAGGTATCTCATTTCTTCGATTAGGTCCAAGCTTACTTCCAAATCCCTTTCGTTCTGCTTGGGCTCGTAGTGCTCCGTCCTAAAGCTTGTTAGGCCAATCTCTACAGGTACTACTGCCTTACTTCCAAACGCTAAAAGAAAAGGGGTTTCCCCTGTGGGAGTCCTTGCAGTAGTACAGTAAGCCCACAGTACACTCGGCAGCTGCTCAGGCCACAGTCCCTTTGCAGCATCAAGTCGAGTCTTGATCATCTGAAGGATTGTTCTGTTAGTGACTTCGGCCTATCCATTCGCCTGGGGATGTCCTGGCGATGAGAAATGAATTTGAATCCCGAGCTCAGAACAAAAATTTTTGAAGTCAGAGTTATCGAACTGTTTTGCATTGTCTGTGACAATCACTCTAGGAATCCCAAATCTGCAAACTATTGATTTCCATATGAACTTCCTTATATTGTTCTCTGTGATCTTGGCCAGAGGCTTAGCTTCTACCCATTTAGTGAAGTAATCAACCATAACAATGGCATGCTTAGTCTGCCCTTTGCCTTTGACGAGAGGGCCAATCAAGTCCATTCCCCATTGAGCAAATGGCCATGGTCCTGACATGGGAGTCATCTCCTCTGACGGTTGTCTCGGGATGTTGGCAAATCGTTGACACTTGTCGCACTTTTTAACGAAATCAAGTGCATCTTTCTGCATGGTGGGCCAATAGTATCCTTGTCGGATGGCCTTGTTTGCAAATGACCTACCCCCAGCATGGTTTCCACAAACTCCTAGGTGGATCTCCCTCAAAATGTAGTCAGCTTCCTCGCTAGAAACGCATCGTAAATACGGCATGGAGAAGCTTCTCTTGTAGAGCACCCCTTTGATAAGCGTATACCTAGCTGCCCGCATTTTGACCTTTCGAGCTTCTGTTCGGTCTGTTGGTAGCACCCCATCCTTGATATATCTGATGATAGGATCTGCCCATTCCACACTCAATATCGCTTGTTGCACTTCAATTTGTCTCTCCTGAGATATAGATGGTTCATCCAAATATTCCAGTGGTATATTCTTATTGATCTCAGGTTCTAATGCAGTAGCTAGCCGGGCTAAAGCGTCTACTTTCCCATTCTCTTCTCTTGGTATTTGATGAATTGAGAATCTTTGGAAGTGATTCTTTAATTCCTTCACCTTTTGTAGATAACTCTTCATCTTCTCGTCTCGTGTCTCATATTCCGCTTGAACTTGTCCAGCGACCAGCTGGGAGTCGGTGTACACCTTTAATTGCTCAACCCCTAGGGCATTTGCCACTTTTAATCCTGCTATCAAGGCTTCGTACTCTGCTTCGTTGTTGGTTGCTTTGAAACCAAACCGAAGTGCGTATTGTATATTTTCTCCCTCTGGGGAGACAAGAACAAGCCCGGCTCCGCTAGCCTGAGCAGTAGATGACCCATCCACGAACAAGTCCCAGACTACTTCTGGGCCCATCTGCTCACTTAAACTTGGTTCTGTCAAAAATTGGGGTTGTTTCTCCTCTTCTGGAGGGGTAAACTCAGCTAAGAAATCAGCCAACACCTGAGCCTTTACTGCTGTTCTTGGCTTATACTGAATGTCGAACTCCCTTAACTCTACTGACCACTTCATCAGTCGACCAGAGCTTTCTGGCTTATGTAGGACCTGTCGAAGGGGTTGATCTGTTAGGACCACTATCGTATGTGCTTGAAAGTATGGTCTCAGTTTCCTGGCGGACACAATTAAAGCAAAGGCCAACTGTTCCATCCTTGGATATCTTTCTTCCGCACCCCTAAGTGCTTTGCTCACGAAGTATACTGGCCTTTGGACCCCTTTTTTTTCTCGTATCAGAGCTGAACTGACAGCTGTCGTGGAGACTGCAAGGTATATGTATAGTTCCTCTCCCGGTATGGTTCGAGACAGTAGTGGGGGAGAACTAAGGTATTGCTTTAGTTCTTTGAATGCCTACTCACATTCTGGGGTCCATTCAAAAGCCTTCCTTAACACACGAAAGAAAGGTAAACACCTGTCAGTTGACCGAGAGATTAGCCTATTCAAGGCAGCAATCTTCCCTGTTAGTCGTTGTAGATCCTTGGTTGATATTGGCGATCTCATGTCAATGACTGCTCGGATCTTCTCTGGATTGGCCTCAATTCCTCTTCTGCTTACCATATATCCCAAGAACTTTCCTGAGGAAACCCTAAAGGCACACTTGCTGGGGTTGAGTTTCATCTTATAACTCCTAAGTACCTCGAAGGTCTCCTGCAGGTCAGTCAAATGGTCTTCAGCTTTTAAGCTTTTCACCAACATGTTATCGACATATACCTCCATGTTTCTACCAATTTGATGCTTAAACATTGCATTCACTAGCCTCTGGTATGTTGCACCAGCGTTCTTGAGCCCAAACGGCATTACTTTGTAACAGTACAAACCTCTATCAGTGATGAAGGCCGTTTTTTCTCTATCTGAGGTGTACATAGATATCTGGTTGTATCCAGAATATGCATCTATGAAACTTAATAGTTCGTGTCTAGCCGTTCCCTCAATGAGCATATCGATTCTTGGGAGAGGAAAGCTGTCTTTCGGGCAAGCTTTGTGAAGGTCGGTGAAATCCACACATAGCCTCCATTTTCCATTTGCCTTCTTCACTAGGACTACATTTGCCAGCCAGTTGGGGTAGTACACCTCTTGAATAAAGTCGGCTTTTAAGAGCTTTTCCACCTCTTCTGATATAGCCTGATTCCTTTCTGGAGCAAAAGTCCTCCTCTTTTGTCTGACAGGTTTGAAGTCAGGATTTACATTTAGGCGGTGCTCCATGATAGTGGGGTCTATACCCGGCATGTCTTCATGTACCCATGCAAATACGTCTTGATTCTTCCTGAGGAATTGAATAAGTTCATCTTTGATACCTGGGGGGAGTAAAGACCCTATACTCACTTTTTTCTTGGGCTCACCAAGGATGACCTCTTCTAGCTCCTCTGTAGGTTCCGCTCTATGAAAGTCTGGTTTATCTTTCCTTTCCAGCCCTTCAATCGTAAATGCCTCTTGCGATTTTATTTTTCTGAGAGAGGCGACATAACATTCGCGAGCCATTGTTTGGTCCCCTCTTATCTCTCCCATACCATATTCAGTTGGGAAACGCATCAGGAGATGGTAAGTGAACGTGATTGCTTTCATAGCATTCAATGTCGTTCTCCTTAGGATAATATTATATGATGATGGGCAGTCCACCACTACAAAGTCCACCATTACAGTGACCTGCTTTGGATTGGCTCCTGCAGTAACTGGAAGGGTAACTGCCCCCAGTGGATATACTTTGTCGCCTGAAAATCCCACCAATGGTGACTTCATGGGTCGGAGCTTCTCTCGGCCAATTTTCAATTTCTCGTACGCCTTAAGAAATAGTATGTCAGCCGAGCTACCATTGTCTATTAATATTCGTCGAACAGTGAAATTAGCAACGACCATGGAAACTACCAGAGGGTCATCATGGGGCTGGTGAATTCCCTTGTCATCTTCTTCAGAAAAGGTTATGACCGGCTCCTCAACTCGAGGTAATTTGGTTGGAGGACTTGTCATTCCAACTTCATTCACCTCTGAAAAACTCTGAATTCTCCTAGCATGAGCCTTCCGAGCTGAACTCGTCTCACCACTACCAGCGAAGCCACCCGATATAACTTTGATCTCACCCATTGGTTGGTGTTGAGGAGGGCGATCATCTCGGCCCTCCCGGGCTGGGTTGGAGCCTCATTTTCCATTTCTAGTTGTGAATTTGCGTAAATGACCTTTACGAACAAGGTTCTCAATCTGGTTTTTGAGGTCGAAACAATCCTCTGTGTTATGTCCATGGTCCCAGTGAAACCTACAGTATTTATCTCGAGACCTCTTTGTTGGATCAGCTTTTAGCTTTAGTGGCCATTTCAATGATGCGTCATCTTGAATCTGCAGAAAGACTTGCTCTACAGATGTATTTAGGGGGGTATAGTTATTATACCTGCCTGGGCTCGCTGGGTGGCGAAACGATCTGTCAGCCTGGTTGTTTGAGAATTTCTTGTACTTCAATTCCCTTTCCTCCCTAGTGTTAGGTGCTGGCCTCTTCTTATTTGACCTCTTATCTTCACCATCTTTGTTTTTTCGTGCATTCATAGCATCGTCAGCGTTCATGTGCTTCCGCGCTCTAACCATCAACTCTGTCATGCTTGTAGGGGCTTCCTTTGATAAGGAAAATAGGAACTTAGAAGTCTGTAGTCCTCCCATAAAGGTTGTGAGGGCAACCTTGTCGTCCACCTCTTCAACTTGTAGCATTTCAGTGTTAAAACGACTTATGTAATCACGAAGGGACTCTCCCTTCTGCTGCTTCACATTAAGTAAATGTGTTGCTGGTCTCCTGTGCTTCTGCCCATCGATGAAGTGTCCTATGAATTGTTTGCTCAACTCTTCAAAGTTTTCAATGGAGCCTGGCTTTAATTTATTGAACCAGAGACGAGCCCAACCCTTGAGTGTGGTAGGGAAAGCCCTGCACATAATCTCGTCCGGTACGGCTTGCAAATACATAAGAGCTTTGTAGGTCTCCAAATGGTCGAGAGGGTCCTGCGTCCCATCGAAGCTCTCAAGAGTTGGCATCTTGAATTTGCTAGGTAGAGGACAACTCATAACAGCTGGGCTAAAAGCTAGGTTAGTCTTTTGTACCATATCGTTCATTGCAGCCTGGCCCTTCCCTTTCATCGCTTGCATGACATCGTCGACCTTGGCTTTCAGATCCTGCAACTCTAGATCGAACTGAGTGGTGTCCTCAGTCTTGTCTCCAATATAACTAGAAGTATCTCCACGGAGCCTGGTGGTATTCCGTTCAGGGGACCGATGGTGATGGCTCCTCTGTTGACCCCCTATTTGACTAAGCTCAACATCGTTGTTAACCCTACGGGAGTCATCGTTGGGTACTTCACTGTTTCTCTCCTCGTTGGGGGCGGCTAAGCGTTGCAGAATCATCGCATTTTGCTGGACTAACTGGTTCACCAGTTGTTCCAACGCTGCGACGCGTTCCTGATCATTTGGGATGACGGGGGGTTGCCCCGTTGAAGTCCCTGCATCAGAAGCCTGCAACCCTTCGCCCTCGCCAGCAGCCAGACCAGATCGCAATAGAACCATGCTTTGTTTAGAGAACAAAAAATTTTCCCACCGACGGCGCCAACTGATGATTATAATTTAATTACCCGTGGATAGGGGAAGATCGTTAAAGTAACGCGATATCTCATAAGATTGAGATAGGCTCTACAGACTAAGATAAGGACTACGACTAAGATAAATGTTACAGATTACGATAAGAATTGCAGAATACGATAAGGATTAGGCCAACAGATTATGATAAGGATTAAGGACGACGTGGACGCTACGTAACATCCTGACCCGAGTCCTATAAATAGGGAGGGCTAATCGACGTTTGGAGGTAGGCAAAAAACCCTAACTCAATATCTCGATTTCTCCAGAGAGATTATCATTCACACTGACTTGTTCGTCGGAGCCTACTCCACCGGTAACACACCTGTGTTTGTAGGATCACTTTTTCTTCTCTTTATTTAGGAAATCAGATCAAATCCGGGTTGCGCAGAATTCATCTTCAACACCTTTCATTTTTCCTTTTAAAGAATGAACAAGTCAAATCAACTGTGTCTAAACTAAGGTTGATATTCTCTTTGTTTCTTAAATTTTTAGAGTATAGACAATTAAGTTTTAATAACTTCCTTTGTCCACAATTATCATAATTATTTGTTTGTTTTTTTTTCGGTAATTATCATAATTATTTGTTTGTTCCAAAGAGAATAATCTTAAAATCTGATTTAGAAACTACACTCATAAATCATATCGCTCAGGCGGCATATTACTGAATACTGACAATTCTTTCTCTTTTAAGGGTTTGATAATAAATAAATAAAAGAAAAAGTAAAGTATATTCAATATGTTAACATGGTAATATGAGTTATTGTTTTCAAAGTTCTCCTCAAAATTCCACGGCTCACGATAATGCTTGTCAGTTATCGATTTCTTCTGATGGTCAGTTAGTCCAGAGTATATTTGATAGTTTATCTATGAAAAAATTGGTTTTTGGTACTCAAAATAGTAAAGTAATTTTTAATTTCTGAATTTGTGCTGCAGTTGCTCCTCTAAAATCTCTCATGGATGGCTGGAAGAACACACCATCCAGTTGGAATAGCTCCGATCCATGTGCCAATGATTGGGAAGGAATCGGGTGCACCAAATCACGCGTGACTTCCATGTAAGTCCTTGGCTTGTTTTCATCATGTTACTGCTAATGGAAAATAACTTATTCTGCCTCTTCATATATTTGAGATTAACCTGACCAATTTCAATTTCAGAACACTATCAAGCATGAACTTGGCTGGTCAGCTGTCTGGAGATATTCAGTCACTATCTGAGTTACAGACTCTGTATGTGTTCCATGCTCACTCTTCCTCCTCCCTTACATGGAATCCAAATTGTGGTTCTTCGTATATACTCGTGTTCACAGCAAAATTTGTGACCCCTCGGACATGCCAAATGTTCTTGTGTTCACAGCAAAATTTGTGAACTCCTCGAACATGCCCTTGTGGACTAAACATTTTAGAAACTCATTAGAGTAAAAATTTATCTCTTCGGGGTTAACTTTTTCAGGTTTTTTTATTAATTTAAGGGATGTTTGTATGTCTGGGAGAAACGTAAGTAATCTGCTACATTTCATTCCAAATGCTACCTTAAAAATGACCATTCAAAGTCCTATGTGTGACACAATAAGGAACAACCACGATGAATTTTTCTTTGTTTCTGTTTAATTATTTTGCATCATATTATATTATCTTAATAAATTTCTTATTTCAGGATATGGCACCATGACTAATGGTGTTATAACTATATTTTCCCCACTAATCCCCCTATCTTTCTCTCTCTCACGTGCACGCTCATGGAGGCATGCACACAAAAACAATATCTATGCATGTATCTATTTCTCTTCAATGCAAATAAGGAAAGTCTCTTCACCCACTACATGAGTGTGATTATTCCTTATTTTACTAATAGAAGCTGTTTGAAATGGTCTTTTAATTTTCATTTTCCTGGAAAAATTAGTGAAACTGGTATTTGATTATCTGCCTCTGTGTACAGGGATCTATCATATAACAAGGGCTTAACAGGATCTCTTCCCTCATCAATTGGAAATTTAAAGAAGTTATCAACCTTGTAAGGAAAATTTTATTGTTTTAATAAAATAATAGCTGATAATTAAATGGTAGTTACAATGCTCTACCAATTAAATGATAATAAACCAATTGATTCTACTCTGCATCAGAATTCTGGTTGGTTGCGGTTTCACTGGTCTGATTCCAGATTCAATAGGATCTCTCCAGCAGCTGGTTTTCTTGTAAGGATTTCAAATCTGGTATTCTTGTTCTATTTTTGATGTGAGAGTTAATGAAAATGAAAATGTCAGATGTGAGTTTTGAAATATTACTTGCATTTACAAATTTTTACCTTAGTTGACCGTCTGTTCCAGAACTGTGACTCCAAGCTTGTCGCTAAGAACGTTTACGATTGAAATTCCTTTGTGATACAGGTCTATGATGGTGTTATGATAGATTTGGAGCTAATATGATTGCAAAATCAAACTTGTTGTACAACACGTACAATAACTGAAATTATTTCATCTTCTGGAATAATTATACTAGAGTGAAACCAAAAAGGTTATATACTGAAGTTTAAAAGCCTTGACAAATAAACAATGACTGTTTTCCTTAATTATGATTGTAACGAAAAAAACTATCTTAAAGAACTGGCCTGATCAATGCTTTCTTAATGTATATGATTTTGATTTTAAAAAATTTATGAACTTTGATGCACTCTTATTGTACAGAAGCTTGATTTGAAATAAAGTTCTACAAAAAAATTCATTTCAAATTTTATTTTGTTGCAAGATATTAGTTTTTTCTACAAATTTTATACCTTGTATATATGTGTGTTATTTGAGCATTTCCTATGCATCGGAAACTTTTAAACCTGATGAAGACAAGCACTTCCTCCATCATGCCCCTGAACCTAGCTACTTCCGCACACACTCTTGTTACTTGCTTTCAAGACTACACAATTGCACAAGGGATCTAATTTGTGATTCTTTCAATCTATCATCAGAAGCTCCATTATTTTAATTTATATGAGTTGTGCTTTACATGTTTGTATTCCACAAATTAACAGCTGAAAGGTGCCAGTAAGTAAAGTGACTTGGGATTTTTAGTACAGTTCCATGTCTTCATTTTTTTCTTTTTCTTTTTTCTCTTTTTAATAGTTCTTCATTTTATCTTCTGCAGGTTTCTAAATTCTAATAGCTTCAGTGGACCAATACCACCTTCCATTGGAAATCTATCAAATCTACATTTGCTAGATCTTGCTGATAACAAACTGAGTGGAACTATCCCAGTCTCTGACGGGACCATACCTGGTTTGGATATGCTAGTTCAAACGAAGCACTTGTAAGTTCTATAATCTTAAGTATGTTTGAGCTACTAGTTCCTATTACTTTGATCTTTACTTTCTTCCTAGTAATAATCACTAAATATGTTTACTACAGTCACTTTGGAAATAATCATCTATCCGGTGAAATTCCACCTCAGCTATTCAGCTCAAACATGACTCTGATACATTTGTAAGTTCCATTGAATTGGCTACTTATCACAAGAATCAGTTGTATATTACTCGAGCTTCTGCATAAAATAATACATTGGATACGTTTTACATCTTTAAGGTTTGCTTACCTGCATATTGACTAGGAGAAAAGAAAAGTAGCTAGATTTCATGCTGAAAAATAATATATATGAACATAGGAAAGATATAGACGACTTTTCTCTCTCTCTTTTTTCTTTCCCTATGGATAATATGCCACTTTTTTTTTATTTTTTTTTTATTTTTTTTATCAGTTTTCCTGTGGATACAGCCCCTTCAAATTACTTGATATATCTGAATTATGCGTATCTTGGATTTTTTTATTTTGTGACATTTTCTTTTATCTGACGAGGAGTGTTAAATTTAATACAAGCATCTATTCTCATACGATTTTTTTTTTTTTTTAAATCTGGACATTAGTTTCAGTATGGTCATATAATCATACATAATATATATATATATATATATGTTTACAGGCTTCTTGATAGCAACCAGCTAACCGGCAGCATTCCTTCCTCACTGGGACTTGTGCAGACTTTGGAGGTGGTGTGAGTATTTCTGTCACATACTTGAGCAAAATTAAGTTGAGATTCTTGCAAACTGTGAATTTCCATGAGGCTTTCGTATTGAATATCTTGTGTTAACAACAGACGCCTTGATAGAAATTCATTAGGAGGACCTGTTCCATCAAACTTTAACAACCTTTCACATGTCAAGGAAAATATTTTTTTTTTCCAACTTAACGCATTTCTACATTTTTTTTTTAAGAATTCAACATTATCCTAGTCAATATTTCTGATTGTTCACTTTCAGGTTCTTGTCCAACAATAAACTCACTGGTCCACTACCAAATCTTACTGGCATGGATTCCCTCTCTTATGTGTAAGTAGCTGGTATTACTGAAAATTCATCTTTTAGCTTCTTGTTCTCTCTTCCGAAACAAATGCCTTTAATTTGCTGTTATTTTATTTTGACAATTATATCAGTTAGTAGTGTTCTCACTTTCTATTCTTCAACCGAAATGTTATTAATTTGCAGGGATATGAGCAATAACTCATTTGATGCATCAAGTCTTCCTCAATGGGTTTCATCCCTTCCATCTTTGACAATACTGTAATCTCTCTCTCTCTCTCTCTCTCTCACACACACACACACACACATAAAAGTAGCTCACATACAACTTGAATCAAGGAGTCTACGAACTGCATGGGGATGCTGCACTAGGGACTCGTATTGTATTGAAACACATTAATCATGCCTTTTCTTTCAACCTGAATCATGTGTCCTAAGCCATCTCCTTGACAATGTAGTAGCTTCAATTCTGAATATGCCACTCCTTACTGATCTTTGCTATACATATCTAAACCATCTAAGCAACTTTCTTTATTATTGTCCTCATTTCTTGGTGAATGAACTTATTGTTAAATCTCACTCACTCAGTGTAAAGAAGAAGATTTGAGGTGTTCTTTATAAAATATAAGCTACAAAACTTTTCATGGCAGAAAGATGGAACGGACGAGACTTCAAGGAAAAATTCCAGTTGAGCTCTTCAGCCTTTCTGGATTACAAACTGTGTAAGTATCAGCTTAATCTCATATAATGCTGCATTTAGTTTGTTAAGTTTTGGGGAATCCAGATAAAAAAACCATGCAAATTCCTGAGATTTCAACAGAGCGGATTCTCATTATATGTTTACATTATGATAGTGGTGGTAATGAGCAAACTTCATTTTTGGCTTGTGATGACAGCATACTAAGAAACAACCGGCTTAATGGCACCTTGGATATTGGCTCCAGCCATAGCAATCAGCTGCAACTCATCGATTTGCAGTCCAATCTCATTTCTGGCTTTACTCAAAGAGCAGAAAACAATATTGAGCCGAAAACAATAATGTAAGCTTTAATATACCTCTGTTGTTTTGGTCATTTTCTCTAAAGAACTGACCATTACATTATTATTTGGAAGTTCAAATGACAGGATGCATTACATTAATGTAAGCTATAATTTTCTTTTCATTTTTATAAACCACATTGCCGTGATTCTCAACTATTTGCTGCAGTCTTTTAGGCAATCCAATTTGTGAGGAAACAAAAATAACAGAAAAATACTGCACCATTCAACAGTCCAATATTTCATTTTCAACACCACCACATAATTGTGAGCCTGCTTCCTGCAGCTCACATCAAATTTCCAGCCCCAGCTGTAAATGCGCATATCCCTACACCGGCACCCTATTTTTCAGAGCTCCTGCCTTCTCAAACCTGGGGAACTCGAGTGTCTTTATTCCTCTCCATGACAATCTAATGCATTCTTTGAAGTCGCATGGACTCCCAGTGGATTCAATTTCTCTGAGTAATGCAACCAAAACTTCGGATGATTACCTTTTATTGAGCCTAGAAGTTTTTCCATCCGGCCAAGAACATTTCAACCGAACTGGAATTTCTCAGATTGGGTTTGTGCTGAGAAACCAAACTTTCAAGCTCCTAAGCAATTTTGGACCCTATTTTTTCCTTGGTGACGTCTATTGTCAATTCTCAGGTAATTAAGTTTTTCTGTTGAATAATTTGTAGCGCGGATGATTGTTCTCTCTCATTGTGATTCATCTGAGTCTCATTCTCTCCATCTATATTGTCATGCAGAAGAATCTAAACAAACAAATAAATCAATTATCATTGGAGCAGCAGTTATTATCATTGGAGCTGTTCTTGTGCTATTGTTACTCTTTGCAGGAGTTTATGCTTTCAAACAAAAGAAAAGAGCTGAAAGAGCTACTAAACGGAATGATACTTTTGGTAAGATAAGAAATGAATTGTGAAAAGCGTTTTCCAATTAAACTTATTATGAGAATTTTTCGCTCTTGAAATGATTGCTAATCTCATCAATATTGTCTGTTCTTTTATGTAAATCGACCAGACAAGGAAAAAACAAAAATATTATTTGAGCTTGGAGTTCCTACAAAATATATGGACAACAAGAAGGGCCACGAGTTGCAAGTATTCGACTTCCAAAGCATAGTGGTTGCCACAAACAATTTCTCAGATACAAATAAGCTTGGAGAGGGTGGTTTTGGATCTGTTTACAAGGTAAATTCTGGAGACTCTCTTATCAAAATGATTTGGATATTACAATTTTTTACCATGTCTCAGGGCAACTTCCCCGATGGAGAAGTTATAGCAATAAAAAGGCTTTCAAGGAGTTCAGGACAAGGATTAGTGGAGTTCAAGAATGAGATTTTACTCATTGTCAAGCTCCAACACAATAATCTTGTTAGGCTTCTGGGATGTTGCATTGAAGGAGAAGAAAAACTGCTCATCTATGAGTATATGCCCAACCAAAGCCTGGACTCCTTCTTATTCGGTTAGCAATTTTCAGTAATTTCAGTTTTTTCATAATGTGGATTATCAATTATAAGCTCATATATATATATATATATATATATTCTACAAATTCCATGTCCAGATCCCAATAAAAAGTCATCCTTAGATTGGAAAAAACGTGTTGCCATCATCGAAGGGATTGCTCAAGGACTTCTTTACCTTCACAAGTATTCAAGATTGAAAATAATCCATAGAGATTTAAAAGCCAGTAATGTATTACTTGATGAAAAAATGAACCCAAAAATATCAGATTTTGGTATGGCTAGAATATTTGGGGAGAATGAATCTGAAGCAAACACAAAGAGGATTGTTGGAACATAGTGAGTAAACATTACATCTACAAATATTTTTATGTTAAGCATATTTTATTTGTATGCACCCTTAAATACTAACAATTTCTCAACTATTGATACAGTGGTTACATGTCTCCGGAATATGCAATGGAGGGTCTTTTTTCGATTAAGTCTGATGTGTTTAGCTTTGGAGTGTTGTTGCTTGAGATTGTAAGTGGAAAGAAGAATCATAGTTGCTGTCATTTTGAACGCCCACTGAACCTTATAGGATATGTAAGTTCCTTAACTGCATCTTAATTTTGTCTCCAATTTTCTCGTCAAAACTATTTGATTTCTTCTCAAAGTTTGACATCCATGAATTTTTCTGTGAACTTGGATTATATTTCAGGCATGGGAATTATGGAGAGAATATAGAGGATTAGAGCTTATAGACCCAACATTGGACAATTTATTTCGACGTAATGAAGTGCTGAGATGCATTCATGTGGGTCTCTTATGTGTACAAGATAATCCAATAGATAGACCTACCATGTCAGATGTAATTTCTATGCTCACTGAGGAAACTAGAGCACTTTCTACACCTAAACAACCAGCCTTTTTCTTTGGTAGGAATGTGCTTGAGGCAGATATTTCCAAAGGCATGCCAGAAAGTTGTTCTTTCAATAATGTGTCAATTTCAGAGATGGAAGCTAGGTAAAGGTACCGATGATTTGTTTGCATTATGTATTCATAATACTTTATATTCAGTTTTCCAATTTAACAGCAAAGTTGTATGAATAAAGTGAATTTATTATGTGTCCAACTCTGTTTATAAGAAAGTTTATAGTATTAATCATTTTTCTTTTATTTTGAGATATGTTGTTTCTCAATCACTACTAGTTTTTGTAGATTTTAAATGCTTCTGTTCATGCAGTGTACCTCTTTGCTAATAGTTATTCATCAATCATGGTTGATACAAAACCTGTATAAAGTAAGGCCACATTAGCTGTGGCGGTGTTGCCCGAGTGATAAAGGGTCGGGTCTTAATTGCCCCACCCTATGATGCTAGGTTTGAATCTCTTTCCCCTAATCTCTACTAACTACTAACTATCCGATAACAAAAAATAAAAAAGAAAAAAAGATTCTAGAGTGTTTGTGTTCCAAGATCAAGAAAGGGTGGAAGAAGACTTCTCTAACTAGGCAGGCCCCATTTGGATGAAGGTAACCACAAGTGGATTATTATTTTGGTAGATGTACCAATCAAAGAAGCATACGATTTCCAAACAAATTATGGTCTTGACACTGATAGAGACATGAAAATTCCATCAAAAAACTTGCATTGTGAAGTGTTTGATTTTTCTACCACTCAACTTAAGGAGCATATTAATAAGAACAAGGCTAATCAGTAGACTTCGTAGATCGAATCAAATCAGAATCATTGGATTAGTGAGACTAGGATCGAGGAAAGTGTGGCAAATAATTAAATGGCACATGAGAGTAAACGAATTAAACCACAACCGTTGCTGGTCTTACTTGGGAATATTGTTAGGACAAAGTGACATTATAATGTAAAATATAAATGCGTAAATAAAAGACATAAAACACTGTCATGGGTTTTTCATATTTAACCACTGACATAGTTATACAATACGATGACAAAACTACCATTATTGTTTCAACAATGCTGTGTCGGCGAAATGGTCACTTTGTGACAATGCATGTAGGAATATCCATACTGTTTAAATAAAAGGCAAACTCTCTAAGAAGAAGTTACCATTGGAATTAGTGCCAAGTGTTTTTCATAACATTAGTGAGATTTTGATATAATTTAGTAAAATTAATTAATTTTAGATGGGGAAACGTTTTTTTTTCCAGCCTTCTTTTTTGATGCCAATAACAGAGCATTTTTCACAAAGGAGCATTTGTAGAGTTCATCATTCCAAAGAAAAAACTCTCTAGAGTTTATTAAGTGTGCGTTTGGATGGGATGATTTGGAGGGATAGGGAAAGAAAAAAAAAAATGATAGGGCTTGAAGTGTGTTTGGGTGGTTTAAAAGAAAAGAAAAGAAAAGATATGGAGAGACAGGGAGGGATAGGTATACGTCATTTCATATGTCTTAAAAATTGAGAAGATACGGAAAAAAATAATAGTGTTTAAGTAGTATTTTTATAATTTCGAAACTGTCCTTAACAATAAAAAAGAAAAAATTATTATTATACTCATATTCCTTTTATTTAAAAGATAAGATAATAATTTGGTTGATATATATAAACATGTATATTATCATTTCATTTCTTTTGTTTTCTATCTATCCAAACATAAATAGAGGTTATTGATATCATTTTTTTTCCTTTTATTTTCTTTCATAATAAATATTATCCTTTCTTTTCTTTGCTTTTCTGTGTATGCATCCAAACAAAGCCTAAGGCTATGTTTCGTACTGTGGAAAAGAAAAGAAATGATAAGATTAGTTATGAGGGAAATGGAAGGGGGAAGAATAATTTTAACCCCTTGGTTGATTAATAAAGGAAAAGAAAGGTAAGAATAATCATTGTTTGGGAAAAAAAAAGAAATGAAACTATTTTGATAAACTTACTATTATACCCTTTTATATTTTAAAAGATAAATTTATAGATTTAACTAGATAAAACTACATTTACACAGAGTTAGGAACCTTAAATAACAAAATAATCTATTTTAAAAGTTTATTTTTCACTTTGTTTTAATTAAGTAAAATAATTATACATATATTCATCAATAACTATTGTTTAGGTCCAAAATGCCCTTCAAACCCTTATTCCAAAATACTAAAAATTTTATTCACCTAAAATATTCAAGTACTTTATTTAAATAATTTATTTCCTTTAACTTTAAACTATATTGCTGCAACTTTCATATATACACACACGATAACTTATACAAATAATAAAAAAGATTCAATATAATAAAAAAGGGGAAATCAGAGGTTAGTCCCCAAAAAGAAAAATAGAATTAAACGTAATAATATATAAATCGTCTTTGCTGTGGTGCATGCCTTGAGATGATCATCAATTTTTTTGCTCAATTAATTACACTTGTTTAATAAATTAAAAAAAAAAAAAAAAAATTAATTGCTAGTGTATCATTTACTGAAGCAACCATTTAGTTTTTTTATGATCTCCTTCTCTCGTGCGTGTGTACGGTATGTATGTGTGTGTGTGTGCGTATATATTCATTGAAAAGTTTTCACATTTGCAGGTTTATATTGATATAAATTAGGAGATATGGTTAAAGTTATGTGCAAATAAAATTATATGTGTGTGTGTGTGTGTGTGTGTGTGTGTGTGATGAATTTCCACTTACTGAAAAATATATATATATATATATATATACATAATGAATTTCTACTAAATTATTTCTATATTTCTAAATTGATATTTGCAGGTTTGAGCCGATATGGAATAGGAGATATCGTTAAAGTTTTTTTGCACAAAATTTATATAATATATATATGTTGTTTTTTATTTTATTTATTTTGGTAATATATACATCATATGCAGAAATGTCAGGTTGAAAGTCAACTCATAAATCTTATTTTTATAAATTCTATGAATGAAATAATTATTTGATTTAGGAAGGATATCTTGAAATAAGAGCTTGGAGGATATTTTGTACCTAAATAATAGTTAAATCAACTAAATTGAAAAATTAACTTTAAAAATAGACTAATTTATTATTTAAGACTCCTAAATCTATTTAAGTGTAATTTTCCCATTTAATTATGTAATATAAAAATAAATAATAATTTGATAAAAACATTATTGTTCTTTTGAATTCATGTTATATCTTTAACTCATATGCTAGATAAGCAAAAGAAATGTATGTTAGATAGGTAAAAGAAATGCTACAATTTTAATGCAAATGAGTTAAATTAAAAGTTACTAATAAAAGATAAACAAAAAAGATGGACTATTTTAATGCAAATGAGTTAAATTAAAAGTTACTAATAAAAGATAAACAAAAAAGATGGACTAGAGAGTAGAGAGCTGCATAATACTTACGTGACAAATGCATAAAAAATATGAAACAATTATTTCAGTGATAAATTATATAAACTTCCAACAAATAGGATGCAGAAACAATTATTTATGGGCCTCAAAATTATAGGCCCATGGATGAGGGGCCACCAGGAAAAAAAATAATAATAAAAATAATAATAATAAATAAAAAATAAAAAATTAGTCTATCTATCTCTATTCTCGTTCTCAACTCTAAGCTTACCCCCTCTCTCTCTCTCTCTCTCTCTCTCTCTCTCAGACACTGCAAACTACAAAATCTACAAGAATTAGAAGTTTAAAACCCATACATTTCAATTTATCTATCTGTCTGCAAGAATCAAAAGTTCAAAACCCAGCATATCATTTCAGATTGTTCAAAAAATCAAAACCCATATCTTTCAGTTTCCATCGCCCGCTATTCCAGTTCGGGTTTGCCGTTCGCAAGCTTCAGCCTCTGTCTCTCAACTCTCAAGCTTGCCCCTCTCTCTGTGCAACTGCTAACTTGTATGTATGGGTTTTGTTTTATTTTTTTTTTCTAAATCAACTAATCAAGCTCTGTAATTCTTGTTTTGCAAACTAAAATCAAGTGTAATCTTTATTTTGTGTAAGGGTAAATTTGGCATCAAAAATAATACATTAAGCCTCTCTTTCTTTTTCTTTTCATTTCCTCCCAAAAATGGGAGGATAAGAATGTTACTATTTAAATCTTATTATCTTACTAAAATCATCCCTTTCTTTTTAACCATTTAACCATTTATGTTTAACATAATTTTTTAATCATGCTCTTATCACCTTTTCTTTCCTTTCCTTTCCTCTCCTCCCTTTTTCATGGCACCAAATTGACCGTTAAGTCTCACCTTTCCTTTCCACTCCTCCCTTTTCCATTGGGGACCGTAAGGTCTAACGAGAGGTATAGAGTTTCATTCTATCTCAAATTGAAAAAGTGCTGTTAGCATTTATTGAAAGAGACAAAGACGTTAAATAACCCATTTCATAAGTACATAATGTTATTACATGGTAGTCACACTCATCAGTCAAATTGTGTGTGTATTCTGCAATTCCATTGGCCACGACTTTTCTTTATCTAACTCACCTCGCCCGGTAGCATTCCAGAGTGGTCCTCCATTAACATCACTTGTTCAAACATCACAACCTTCCATCAATGTCTTCCCCAAAACCAATCATTTTAGTTGGAAATTTTTTGTAATTTCATCATCATTCAGTGGCATAATTGTCATGGAATGTTCAGAAATTCAGCCTAATTATGGTTGTGTTTGGTCATCATGGATATTTTTGTTGCTCTTTTATTTAGTTTCGTTTTAATTCACAGCCTGTGGCCTAATGATATCTTCCTTATCTTTATAGTGAAAGATATAGTGTTAACGTCTTCAAAAAAGTCCCTGCAACTTATAGTCAAATACTTAATGATCATAATAGCAAAATTGTTATTAAAATCTAAAAGCATGACGAAAATTATAAATAAAAAAAAAAAAAAAAATTTGGGTTTGTTCGGCTAATGCTTTTGCTTCATGTGTTTACTTTTACTAGTGTACTGTAGCGAAGCAAAACTAAGAAACATGTTTGATTTGTTGTTATTTAAATAGTACCGAAGTGCTTAAAAAAAAAAAAAAAAATGGAGGTCAAAATCGAAAGCATAAAAATGATGTTTTTTGTTGCTTTTGCACGGTAGAAAAACACTGTTCAAAAAACAAAAAAAGCTAAAATGACATTTTTAACTAGTTATTTAATTTTTTAAACTTGCAGCACTTTTTATTAAACATGTTTTTATATTTTTGCTGCTAAAAACCATGCAATAAATTTATATTACTAAACAAGTTTC